TTGTATTTAAAAATAATTGAAAATGTGATAGTTTAGGTGAGTGCGTCGATTTCTGGGGTTGGTAGTTTATTTAGGAACAGCGCCTTATCTTGCGAATTATGAAATCGAGTGTATTGTTCATTTCCTCTGATACACAAACAAAAGAAAATAAAGAAAGGAAAGAGTTCAACTCCATCATCTGGTTATTAAAAAAGTGAGTAAATGTGTAAAGTCATTGAATGCAAAAAAAGAGGGGGGTGGGGGGAATGTGATACATTTTGATGTAATCTGTCAAATTTAATAAAGTACCAACAAAAATATTCACACACATAAACGAAACATTTTCTTAAAAAATTTCAGCATTCATTAAAAAAAAACACATCAGAAGTCAAGACTTTTGCCGTGTTAAATGCACCTTAAATTAGAAACAAGTGCTTCAATAATCAGTGATCGTTTCCCCGCGGAAACTGCGCTACGCTGTTCTAGCCCCGCACAAAAAAAAAACGTCTGCGACCCTCGCCTCACTTGAAGCCGTATGTTGATTGTTGATGCATCAATGATTAGGTCACCGATTTCACGCCTTTCAAGATCACACATCCTCAAGTTGGTGCGTATTTGAGCGGAATAAGAGACCGCGCTTTTTTCGCTTGAGAAACACAAACCCCTACAAGTTCTTTACAGTATTAACTGCGCCGCTACTTTTTGGTGAGTGATATTCTTATGGCGCTGTAGGCCATACATCTTTTGTTGGGTCAAACATCCCCCAAGCTTCCTGCTGATCTAAGTCTTAGAAACTGATTCCAAAAGCAATGCGGAAGTGCAGTGGATGGGTTTAGAGAATTCATGCGAGCTCAAGTCAAGTCAAACAAAAGACTGACCACAAAGGCGAAGGTCCACGAAACTAGGGCCAACAAACATTATTAATATTAAAATTATTTTTTCGTCGAATAACTCTTAGATCTAAGTACCTTAGCTCGAATGTACTTTTGTCTCCTGACTTGACATCTTTATTGTTGACATGAGGTGACCACATATAAAACAACACATTTAAGGCCTCGAACCCTTTTATTTTCTTCTTTACCATTATACTAAATCTACACCACACCAGCCAAATCTTCAAAGAATTTATTCGTTCGCCTTTTCATTCTTCTATCCAAATAAAAGTATTATTAAAATTAATACAATATAAAGAAATATGAAATCTTCAAAGTCTGAATTCAAATTAATGGGGCAACTATCATGAAAGCAATGAACTTAATGAAAGTGGATTTTAACCAACGGATTTTAAATATTTTGTGCGGAAGCAATATTTTTATGGACTGGAACTTCACAGATTCCACGGTAACCTTAGTTAGTCATGTCGCCTTTCATGGATCAAAGGTCGACCAAGTATTTTACTAAAGTTCGTTAGATTGGAGTTGGAAACAAATAAAATAATATTAAAAAAGATTTGCGTTTTCTGCGTGTAGTGCACTAACCTTTTGATGACTTTGTTGCCTGTGATAGTTACGTGCACGGAAAGTCAAATATCTTTTGTTTCTCGCCTGCATTTTCTGTCGGAAAAGTTTCTTTAATTACCGTCGTCGATGTACGGGTGCCCAAAGATGCAAGGCTGCAGTCATAGAAATACGACTATACGGCGTAGGAGGGAAGGAGAAGGCGGAAAACTTTTGAAGCAATTCTTTAATTATTTCAACTTTGAGGTGATTGTCGAATATTAGCATAGGGGATGTCTATAGTCTCTAGAAGCTTTTGATTCGAGTTTTCTTTTTTTTTGTTTCTTTTTAGTTAGGTAGAACGCAGTAACCCTCATACAGCCACGGGCACTCATAAAAGAGGGAGTCGGGCTTGTATGCAGAAAGCTTCTCACATGAATGGGTTTGTGTTGAAAATTTCGGCGAGCTCTTAAAAAAAAAAAAGACCTAGCTATGTGGGGGTTAAATGGCAATCGGGGGGGGGGGGGGGTGTAATAGAATCAAGAAATAGCTATTTACAACTGTATCCTTTTGAAAGAAATCTTTCAACTCACACCCATTCTCTCGAATTCTCCCTCTAATTCCTTCTCGCTTAATATTTTTTTCACAGTCATCATAGTTATCGTTGATATATTACATTACAAACATTATATATGTAAATGTCGGCTAAAATATATAGGGCCTATGTATATATATATATATATATATATATATATATATATATATATATATATATATATATATATATATATATATATATATATATATATATCCACACACACATATATAGGCAAAGATAGGTTGTATCATTTGAAAAACACGTATGAATGAAACGTGCAATGAATATCTAAAAAAAAACTATTTTCTTGGATTAAAGTCTTAAATGTGTAGGCTTCAATAAACTGCACATATTGGAACCTATTATATTAATTGCTTTGTGAAAAGTCGTTCAATGTATAAAAATAGATCAACATCGTGCGCCGTATTAACATTATTGTTATATTTTATATCCCCCTCTCCATCCCCGTCCTCTCTGTCCCCACCCTCCCCGTCCCCACCCTCTCCGTCCCATTCTCCATGTCCTCACTACCCCTCTCCACTCTCCCCCCCCCCACTCTCCCTGACCTCACTATTCCCCCACTCTCCCCGTCCCCACTCTCTCCTCTCCACTCTCCCTGTCCCCACTCTCCTTGTTCTCACTCTCCCCGTCCCTACTCTCCCTGTCCTCACTATCCCCCTCTCCACTCTCCCCGTCCCCCCTCTCCCTGTCCCCACTCTCCCTGTTCTCACTATCCCCCACTCTCCCTGTCCCCACTCTCCCCGTCCCCACTCTCCCCGTCCCCGTCCCTCTCTCCCTGTCCTCACTCTCCCTGTCCTCACTCCCCCCCGTCCCCTCCCTCCCCGCCCCTCTCCCCGTCCCCACCCTCTCTGTGTTAGTTGTCCGACTCGCTCTAACCCTCACATCTCATTGACTATGAAATATTTATTGTTCGCGAAAAAAAAAAGTTAGATTGTTAGCGGTCATTGTGCGAGGTCTTTGTGCGTGGTCAGCCGGAAAATGTCGCGCACGCTTGGGCAAATAAATTATCGCAATCTCCTAACACGCGATTTGCGAATAGCGATATTGGCCACGACATACATCGTCAACAATGTGGGTTTAACGATCCAAGTGTTGGGGGGTGGGGGATGAATGAAAGCCTATTTATTATTTATTCTATAACACTCGTTAAACGTAAATTTCCGTTTCGTAGATATAACTATTTTTTAATTTATATTTAGGACGAGTTTTGTAGGACGTATGGTCTTCAGTAAAGAGTGCAGGGGCGTAGCTGCATCTCCCTGCGCCCGAGATAAACTATCAATTTTGCGCCCCATGTACTATGCGAGAGACTCACCCGGTGCGGCATTTAATGGTGTCACCCCTCAGAGGCGTAGTGACCCTTCCCGGGGACAAACTTTCAAATTTTCGATTTGCACCCCACTCAAACTTTCGATTTGCACCCCCCCCCCCCTCAAGTTTTTTTTCTATATATTTTGCTTTTTTTCGCCTTGGTGTCACTCCCCTAAATGGTGTCATCGGTGCGATCCGCACCCCCCCCCCCTCGCTACGCCTCTGTATTATTTAGATGTATTAATGCTTCAAATAATACATTATTTCAATTAAATTGTGAGTTTGCTATTTTATATATAATGACATCACTCCCATTCAATAGCAGTTCATTTTGTTAAGTAAATAAAATTGAATACTTTTTTTTAAAATATATCAGTCAACACCTCTCGTATGCTAAAATGTTTCGCGCTTTATTAATTCAGAGCCCGCTGTCGATGAATTGCAGCACATGAAGTGTCAAACCCATATGTTACAATTTGAGCGAAGGATTGTTATTAATAGCTTTGCACATGATTTGCATAGAACTCGTAGATATTTTTTTAATATTATTATTTTTTATTAGGACTAAAAAATTGCCAGAGTACAAAAGTGTTAAATTCGTAATTGTATGCTATCAATGATATTTTAAGTGTTACTACACTTTAATAAAGAAAGCGGGAGTGATCTCGCCTAAACGTTCTCGAATATGCTTATATAACACTCGGGGGGTGGCAACTCGGGATATAGACATGATTTTTTAATCCATATTAAATTACTTAAACTTTTAAAAATAGATTAGTAACCTCGTAGAAAAAAAAAATTGCGCACCAAGTGAACGGCAAACAATATGTTTATAATAGTGCGGAATATTAGTACTTTAAAAATTCATGATTTTTTTTTTTGAGAACTCGGAAATAGCGTAAATTACTACTTCCGGTCAACGGAAATAACTCAAAATTTGACAGAAGGCAGAAGATTTGATCTATCACTTATATCTGAAATTCAGTTTATCTATCTGCAACATTATTCAAGTTATAGGCTTTTGAAAAATTGAAAGTAGTAGCTCTAACGTTACTTAAGTTATTGTGTTCACAGACATACACACATATATACATACACACAGACATATGGACGAAAATTGCAAAAAACTATGTTTTTCCGCTTTTTTTTTTTTTTTTTTTTTTTGCACGATCACAAAACTTCCAGTGTACTGCGTATACGAAAAAGTAAAAACGACAGCTCATGTTTATTTTTATTTTGTACAAACTACTAACATTATGTAATTCGATTTTCGAGGATTTTAAAATGTATTTTAAAAGTGTTTAACTATTACAGTTTGGTTACCCAGGCTATTTATATATATCTATATTTAATTAATTTGATGATGTAAAAAAAAAGCATACTTGTTCGTATCTAGTAGGCGTAGTTAAGCTACTACGGGGCCTATAGCAAAAACACTATTTTAAGACGGTCTGATAAAAGGCCTTATATCGTTTTATTTTATGTTTTTATAATTAGGCCTATACGAAATATTATCAAAGGTATATTTTTTTTTACAACATATAATATTAAAATAGAAAAATTCGAATTTATTTTAGGCTGATGTAATTACGGGCTAGAATAAGGCCACTCAGAAGTTGTTTCTGATTGGTAGAAATATTTATTTTGTCCTGCATAGCAACATGGCGGTCTTCAGCAAACCCTTGTCTATAAATTATACTTGTTATGAATTAGGACACTGCTGGACACCTTATTGTCGCAAAGCTTCAACAGACATCGCAGGACATGTTTTTAAAGAAGCTCTTAAAATATATGGAACGTTGTACTTGGTGAGAACACCCAATTGATTAAAAAAATATTTAAAAAATGGATGTTGTCGATCTCTCCAACCAACAAACCAACCAAGAAGTCCAATCACAATCACAGTAGTTGCACACTGAACAAAAATTAAAAATACTTGATTCTAGATCTAGTCTCGATTCTAGAGAAGAATAAATAAATCTAAAATAGTCTGTATACTAGTCTAGTAGAATTTAAATTTAATACGAACTCTGAAATTGAGAAGCTTAATTAATTGTGACCTCTTGCTCCCTAATTTTAAAAAATAAAAATAAAATTAGGATAGGCCTACTTCACAACAACAGACATCACTACCTTTCTACTTTCTGTGAAAAATCTAAATTAATCTTAAGAAGAATAAGATGTAGAATGTAGATATACTTGCTAAATCTAAATTTTCTCAATTTTTAATTTAAACATGACCACTTCCAATTTACTAATATATTAATTAATATAAATATATTGTATCTGTGTTCATGCATTGCTAATAATTTGTAAGCAAATTTTACTTTAGAGTTGTTTGTCATTAAATATTAAAGGCAGTATCCAGAATGTGTTGTTGTATTAAAAAACCTGTTATGCTATTTCAAATTTACGGCCTGTAGGCCTATTTCTATTTATTTAGGTGTCATCCATTTATGAATTCCACAAAAATTTTCAATTTTTGGCCCTATGAGAAAAGCTCTTGCTTTATTTTAAATGTTTCTGTTAATACCAAACAAAAACTGCAAAATTATTAAACACCTGATTTTGTATTTAATGGGTGTGGGGAAATTGCGAGACGCGAAAAGCGAAATGGCGAGGCGGGAAAATGTGAGAAGGGCGCGGAAACGGTCGGTCACGTGATTTTTTTGTCTCGCATTTTACCACAAGCCGATACTTACGCTGGGTGGTGTTGAAATGCGAAGATTTCTGCGAAAAATTTACCGCACCCGATTTTCAGTGGTATTTGGTCCAGACTTCAAAGACGTTTCGTTTACATTGTTAAAACTTCCGATTTTTCCGTCGCTAGACATACTGATGATTTGTCAACTCCCCCCATCTTTTGTGTCGACTTAGAATACCACCTTGTTCGAAACCGACGGAAATACCGCCGACAATAGATCAACTTCTGTCTTTTGTGTGGAACGCCGAGGCCGCCTGATTTACCGTCTTTGAAGATCGCTGTGCCCGGATCCGCTGCCGCCGCAAACATATTTTCTATTGTTGCATAGAAATTTTGTATTATAGCCGCCGCCTACGATTTTTTTCTAGCTTTTTTTTACCATATAAATCTAAGCACAAGGAAATGCCTACATCATTTGGATACAACAAAATAAAGTGACGTCACCGATATTATCAGTTGCTCGTGCTATATCGTAAGCTATGGGCCTACTTCAGATATTTTTAAAACCAAGTTGAACTTATCTGAATTTTTTGGTTTTGGTGGTGGTGTTATTTGGGGTCTTCCATAAATGACCAATGTTAGAAAAAGAATTTTAGACGTTTTTTCGCGTTTTAGAAAACTGTTTTAATACATTGTAATAGGAATTGATTAAAATACTCTATTTTGACCGAAATTGGGAAAATATCGATGTTTTAATAAAACTCAACTGCTGGTGACAACAATGAGCAAGACATTGCCAAAATTACAGAAATGATAAAAAATACAAATTATAAAAAACGGAAAACAGATGTTGAGCGTGCGGATGATGATGATGAGAACATGGGTGCCAGTTTTGTTTGTGGGATGAACGAGGAGGTCAACTGTGATGAGAATGTGAAATGTTGTGAATGTGGATTGGAACAAGAAGCAAAAGAAAAATGTATAAATGGGAGTCTAATGAACTGGGTTGGGTGTACTATGTGTGAAAGATGGTGTCACGAGGTGTGTCTGAGGACCAGTGGCGTAGGCAGGGGGGGGTTAGGGGGGTCATAACCCCCCCATAGACCCCTCGGTATATATAAAAAGTATGAGGGGGGGTGCAAATCGAAAGTTTGAAGGGGGGGGGGGGGTGCAAATCGAAAGTTTGAGGGGGGGGGGGTGCAAATCGAAAGTTTTTCCCCGGGTAAAAATTGGAACCCCCCCCCTTGAGACGATCCTGGCTACGCCACTGCTGAGGACTGTTTCAGAAGATTTTGTTTGTAAATTTTGTTTGTAATTAAAATTACTTAATAAAAAAATAAATTGCACTTTTTAGAATTGTTTATACTTTTACAAATTTTTTTACAAGTACAAAAATCCATAAATAGATGTTGCAAAATATCTCTCCTGTTGACAAGATTATACCAATTCACAATGACACAGCTCACGTTTGTATAAACATGAGCGGGCTAGATTTTTAAATTAATGCCGACTGAGACAGGATTTTCCTCACGCTAACAAGAGCGGGCGATGACAGTAGCACAGCAACGATGTTAGGATTTTTAAATAGATAGATCTAGATATAGATCTATCTATATTCTTAGTATCTAGATAAAAAATAACAACATACAATACTCGTGTTAAATGGTATGGTTAAATGCTTGTTTATTTTTTTAAATATTTAAAAAAATAATTGAAATAAATAAAGATGGAAAAAAAAGGAAAAAACTTTTTTCGCAAAAAGTGTCTCGCTATTTACCCTTAATTCCGCAGGTATGTCTCGCATTACCTTCTCGCATTTTCCCGCCTCGCCATTTCGCTTTTCGCGTCTCGCAATTTCCCCACACCCGTATTTAATAGTATTTTTCAGACTAAAATTATTAACAATATTTTTCTTTTTAAATTGAAAATGCTATGAACAGAAAATTTTAATAATCCCCGCCCCTTTCGTTGAAGTCGCAATGACCGTGAGCCCTACACACCTGATCAAGCGAGCACATTATACACATGCTGTTATTTAAATATTTAATTGTAACGTGGTTATTTTGAGTTTTTTTACTTAAAATATCTAGATCTGCGTCGTCTTAGGCTTTGACAGAATTTAATGATTTAGACTATGATTCTTTGGCAGATGAGGCTCGTTAGCTGGGGACAGCCACTAGGAGAGACAACTCCAAAATTTAACAACTGCTGTCTTGTAGCTTGTTCTTGGTTGGACAAAGGCTATGGAAGCAAATCCAAAAAGAAAAGCAGGCTGAAATCGGAGTCAATGGCCTCAATGGCGCATAACCAGTTGACACTTTACACTTAATTGTGTTGGAGGCGTGGTCGAGTCTGCAAAAAGCTCATGGTTTATAACTTCGAACAAAGTCTCGAGTTCAAACCCACTGGCAGATAAATCTCGATCCCCTTCAACACTAATAATTAAGAATGAAGAAGAAGAAGAACACTATGATTTAGCAACACAATCGGAGTCTAGAACTAATTGTTTTTAATCTTAAGCTTTAATTATGATTGTTTGAAATGTTTAAAAAAAAATTGAAATACAGTGAAATCTTTTAGATAATTGCTGCGGTCACTACCCCCCCCCCCCCCCCCTTTCCTGGTTGCAAAATATAACAAAATCTCCCTCTTTTTTTCTTGGGCGGGCGGTATAAAGTTAATTTCTGATACATTTATTCACCAGTTTTGCTGGAGAACTGCCAATTTAATGTATAACCTGCATTTTATGTGCAGTTTTTTTATTTTTTGTTGTTAATAAATTAATATGTGGATGACCACATTGACGTGTGGATGTCACATATGAATGACCCATTGTTACCCTGGTTTGAATCACATTATAGAAGAAGGAAATAGTCGAAAAACTAAATTGATTCTTAAGAAAATATATTGGCTCTGTATGGACAATGTTTTCATTTAGATCAGTTAGCTCCTATATGAGTATAATGCACTTGCTTATACCTGTGCCTCGCTACGGTGTGGATATGGATAATGGGGCAGATATTCCTTCAGCGCACCGCACTGCATTTAGGTGGCGGTAGCTATTTGTCTGAATATGGATATTCACGAAAATTAAACTATGCTAAAAAAATAAATAAGCCAACGCTCTCACGGACGTCCACCCAGATTTCCCTTCTCCACCAGACCCGAGGCATAATCTCAACAGCCGCCGAACAACACGTTTCCCTGGACGTCAGCACCCAGGGTCCCCATGCGTGACCGCACTCTCCCAGCTCTATGGGTAAAGACAAAGTGCCTATACCCATGACTCACTGATGGAAGTGCATAAAAGTCCGACATGACACTGGACGCTTGTATTATAGATTATATGAGTGACTTCTAAAAAGATATTTATAATCCTTAAGACTAGTTTAGAGATTTTTGTTTTTTGATCACTAATATCAGAAATAATGAACTCAATTTTCATGTTAAAATATATTTTGTTCTTTTTCCAGGTGGCTGGTTTATTCAAAAGGAGAGGATTAGACTATTATATTAAAAAATTGATTCCTGAAACTTTGAGATCATCCATCTTCCTTACAATCAATGGAACCTTGTTCATCACAATGTTTTGTGTGTGGAGGTGGGTAAACAGTTTTATTTTCTAGTAAAGTTATTTTAAAATGTATATGTCACTGAATACAATTAAATAGTGTGTTTATTTAGTTTTCATTTATTTAAATCATTATTCATAATTTTATAACTCATTTTTGTCTCGGATATTGAATAAGTAGGAAGTCATTACCCATGGATTTAGGTTAAACATCATTTCTTAACAACTGTTCAATTATTTAAATTAAATTTGGCAACTGAGCTTTATAATTATTACATGATAGTTAGACAGTGAAGCAAACTTAATTTTATATTTCTAGCTCAGCAAAAAAGCAAAAATGATTAGTCCTACTAATGCCACAATGATCATATATGAAACATTGAAAGTAGGACCACTCGTTAGGATTTCAAATTCTCCTTGTTCATGCTTCAAAAGTCAGTTTATAACTGTGGTCTAAAAAATAATGTTTGTCATCAGTCGTCAAAGAAAACAGCTTGAAGGTTGATTTTTTTTTGGGCACTTTTGAACCTTAAGTGACCACGTGAGCAGACATTGATTGCTAAATATACTCATGGGGCTCTGGTAGGGTTTTAAGTAATATATATTCAATTTTCCATTTAGATTCTTAGTAAACTAATAATTATTAAAGTTTGATAACGATTTTTAATAATCTTACATTAGATCCTATAAAAAGGATTGTAATTGTACATCTGAAACTGAATTTTTTTTAATAAGTTTTAACATTGCTCAGCTTATAGAATCAACCTTCTGTGGTGTGGCATGTATCTGTTTTTGGTGAGAAAAGGTAGTCATCATTTCTCAACTACAAGATATGAGATAAGATGATGCTGAACTAACATTAGACATAAGTGACAAAATGATGTACTTTGGTACTAAAATTTACATGTTAGGTTGTATGGCAATCTTGTTAAATAAATGAACACTTGAAATAGATCATTGAAAAAGCAGCATTTATATGTCAGATGAGTCGCAGGTACCAGCTACTGACTTAGGACTCTGGTTGAATTTAAGGTTTTTTAGTAATATTTATTTTGCTTACAGTTTTAGAAATGTATGGATATGGCTAATCAAACTGTATAAAAATGTTTGATATAATTTATCTTGTTTTTTAGTGATTTCACAGCAGTAGCAGTCAACCCTCTGCCTGGCTGACCTCAGCATCAGGTGTTATAATCTAAAACCTTCTCATTACCTTTTCAGGCACCTGGTGGGTTTTTACCTGTTTTACAATGTTTTCTTCTGTGGGGTACCTGCATGCATCCTCTCTATTTCCATAGAGCAAAAGTGCAGGTAGCAGTATAGAATGAGAGGTTTTTTTTCTCTCGCACTGTTGTTTCTGCATTGGTCACCTTGACTACCATTATATTTTGTTGGCAGTTGTGTGAAATTTGAAAAATCTTTTTTTTTTGTTCTCATTCCTTTAAGTTTTTGGTTCAAGTTTAGAAATTAAAAAAAAAAAATTATTTACTGTAACAGTACACTTAAAATAAAAAAATACAAATATACTGAACTATTTAGAGTTTTAAAAACTGCAGTATCTACCTACCAAAAACCTAAAGGTTTGAAATTTATAACTGATTTTATATTGAAGGTATGAGGAGAAAAATACATGTATATTTCCTATAGAAAAATACTACACATGCTTACTAGTGTTTTTTGTATTTATGATAATTTTTTTTTTTTGTATTTATGTGTGCCCATTAACACAATTTTAGATGAGGTTTGAAAACAAATACTGCTCGTTTGCTTTGTTCTCGCAAATTAGAAACTACCACTCTTCTTAAGAGCAATATTGATCATAGCTATGTGCTGCTCCTTATAGTCTTTCACTGTATAGTTCAATGAAAAAGTTTGCCATCGCTGGGATACTTTTTTTTGTATTCTTTAGTAGTGAAATTTAAATAAAAATTATCTTAATGTAGCATCTATATCAATTTTAAAATTTAAACAAGCTTGCATACACTGTTTGAGAGCTCAACTTTCAGATAAAAAATTTCTTGATTTAAAAACAGATATTTTTAAAGATAAACTTTCTGTAAAGTGATGAGATTTGTTCCTGTAATCTACTTAATTTGTTTTAAAACAGAAATTTAAAGATGTCTTCATAGGTCTGCAAAAATAAATTTGTCAGTCTGTTGTAATAGAAACAAAAGAAACACACTGTAGTGGTTTAAAAACATGCCATTAGGTAAAAAAAATAAAGATCCAGACACAACTTTTGACTTGAAATTACAGGAAGCTTAAAGTTTTTCAAATGCTTTTGGTTTAGCAGTTACAACTTGTAAGATGAGGGCCCTGCCGTAACCATGGTGATTGACAATTGTCACCAGCACCTTTATATGGCACATCTTGTGCACCATTGTTAGGTCCTTAGCCCATGTTGAAAGACATTAGCATCTTTGTTTTTTTTTCTCCTCCTGATGGCAGGACTATGCTTGGCTGTATGTTTCTCCTCACCACCTCCTTTATACCAGCTTATATTGCGGCTTTTACTGCTGTCATGGTTGAGAGAAAATCAAGGTATGAATTATTTCAAATATCGTTGGCTTAAAGGTTAGCTTACTCGACGTAAATAAAGGAAATTTTAAAAAGCTGGCATGCTAAATAGGCAGAAATATTCTTTTTAATTAAATATCTTTTTGTTTTAAAGTCAAATTAATATTGTAAAATGTAGAGCTTTCTGTTTTGTTTTAATTTGTTGAAAAGAAGCTCAGAAATTTAAAAAAAAATTTTTTGCATGGTGTAGACAGCAGAAATATTAAAGTTTATTTTTGTTCAAGACAAGTTTTCATTTTAAATAACGGTTAAAAATGTTTGGAATTTAACTTTTTCTGATAAATGTTGAACATTTTTGACATAGTAAGAGCTGGTGTTAAGAACTGTATGTTGTCTGTCAGTAACTAACGTATGTGCATGTTATCTGTCTAGAAGGCTCACAGTGGATTGAGTGAGTTTCTTTTAGTGCTAGAATTGAATAGATAGAAACTAACTAGTCATATTTTTTGTATACTATAATCTTAATTCAGATTTTCAGAAGGAAAAAAAAAACACTGGCAAAAAAAAAAAAATTTGTTGATAGTCTTTAACAAATAGTGTTTTATAAACAAAAATATTCTAATTTATTTTGCATTTTTTAAAATATATTTTAAAAAAAATCTTTCTAATCTTTTTCAAGTTTATCATGTTTTCTTTAATATATAACTTTAAAATTATATTACTTTAAAAAATATTCTCTAGCCACAAGCTACTATATATTTGCTTTATTAATATATTTTTTATTGATCTGGCTTTGCATGTTTCTAGAGTTGTACCTTCACTTTTAACTATTTGTGTGGCATGCAGTGTTGCTTTAGGTTTTTTTTTTAATTAAAATTAATTAAAAGTTTAGTATAGGCCTACTTATTTATTTATTTATTTATACATTTTGAAATTAGGTACCCTTTAAGTAAAGTATTTAGATTTTTATATTAGATGGACGTATTTAAAATAGATATTTAAAAATGTTATGAATCTAAGAAAATTATTTAAAAAAAATATTGTTTACAAGAGTACAAGTGTTATTACCCATAAGTTCTTATTGAACATTGAGCCACATGGTGGGGTGGGGGTGTGTGCACATGCAGTGTGGTTTGTTTTTATTGTTTATTGAATGTGTCTTAACTTGTACAGACAAAGCGAGATTGTAGCTGTTAGTACATCTTAATCAATAACTAGTTAATGTTTACGGGGGCGTGTTGAAACATGGGTAGAGAGGCTAGTAATGCTGAGGCTATTGTATGTGATGAACGAGGTAATGAAGTATGGGCATGGTTTGAATTTGATGTTACATTTTAGGCATCTTGATTGTAGCCATTTGGTTGGTAGTTTTCTCAGATTTGGTCGTGTGGACTTTTTTGTTTTTATTTGCTTGTGAGGGATGAAATATTTTATTGTTATGTTAAGTAGGTTACATTTTTTTAAAAATGTACTCGGTCTACACATTACCAGCTTTCAAATCATACAATCAAATGTATACAATGTTTCATCTGATGATGGGAAAAACGATGTGTACAACGTGTATTGAGTGTCCGCGGTGTTCTTATATACGTATTTATGTTTTTAAAAAAAATGACTGCCGGTAAGTTTTAAAACTACGCAAACGCACAGCTTAGAATGAGCGTTGTAAACATAGTCGACGATCTGTAAAGTGATGTAATCTGGACATGGAATTAAAAGAAAAGTTTTATGTTGAGCTGAAAGCTTGACAACAACAGACCTTTGGCTAAAAATTGTTTCGTTACCTAAGTCAACTATCTCACTCAGGGGTTGTGAGAGCATTGGTATGGCAGAGGCGTAGCCAGGAAAAGGATGTAGGGGGTGGGGGTGGGGTGGTTACACTTCGGGCCCCACATTTTTTCTACTATATATCGGAATGTTCCAACACAATGTTGTAGCCATCCCCTGTATTAGTGCAATTATAAGAGGCGACTCTAGGAGTTCGCCTAGTCCCATGTTCGTATGTCTCTTGACATACTTTTAATACGGTGGCTTTGATAAATGTGCCTGACGAAAATACCAAACCTCGTATTTGTGTAAACTACGGTTTTTGTATAAGCTACGGTTTTTGTGTAATACGGTTGAACTCAAATCAAGAACAATTTTTTTTTTAAAGCGAGCACAGTCAGTACACATGAATATTTTCTGCTCATCCAATTTACCGTGATAATTAAATCTTGTTATCAAATTAAAGGTGAACAAATTGAGTTTTAAAACAATAATGAAGTTTAAAATTCTACGCATTCTATTCTACTTGGACTCGAAGTAGAAAGGAATGCATACACGACCCTGATTAGCTCATATGCACGTTTTATTAGAATGTTAGCGCTCTATCATCTTGACAGTGGTAGAAATGCCCTTGAGTTTTATTTCGTAATGCAAGGTATTTTGTTAAAGTGCTCTGTGTAATGCGGAGAAAGTGCATCCTCGTTATTTTTTTGGTTTAGCTGGAGGAGGGGTGGTTTGGTTCGTTTTGTTTTCCTATTTGTCTTTCTATTTGTCTTTACGTTTATCTTTGTTGTTTTTAAGAGTTTGTTTGGAATATCGTATAACCTTTGTAAACTATATTTGAAATAGTGTTTTTTTATAATTATATCTGAGTAGAATTTCTACCTACCTGTATGCATGTCTGTTTGTCTGCCTGCTTGCTTGATTACAGGTTTAAATCCGTATCAGTTTGTTTGGTCCTTGTGCTCATCAGTGTGTATGCTTGTGTGTGAGTGTCTATGTGTGTGTGTGTGTATGCTTGTGTGTGAGTGTATATGCTTGCGAGAGTCTGCTTGTGTGTGAGTGTGTATGCTTGTGTGTGAGTGTTCATGCACCGGCAAACACGACCTACTCACCCACGGTATAGCGGGACCGTGCTGATTTATTGACTTAGTGTCGTGTGAGCAACACGTGTTGGGCCCTAGGGCCTGTTTAACTGGATAAACAGAACCTGCCTCGACCAAAGTTCACGGCGAGGCAGGTTAATGTTACTCACAGCACACGCTAACAATGTGCAGGTTTCAGCAACATGCCCCTCGACCCCTTCCCCCCCCTGCCCGGTCACCAAACACTAAATGAAAAAAAAATATAGAATAGCATAAAATCGTGCCACCATAGTTAATTAATTAGCCGCCCCACCCCTCTCGTTTATGCGATGACTGTCCCTGACTTGTGCATAGCACCGGTGCCCTCTCTGTACTTGCACCTAAACCTTTGTTTAGTGTATATGGCTACTTTTGTGTGCTAAATCTGTGTTTATAAAAACAACCCGTTTGAGGAAAGGGGAATAACTCTGAAGGGATCGTGCACTTATTACCCAACACCCACGGGGGTTGGCGGGTGTAGGTTTTCTTATTTTCGCACACAAAAAAATTAAAAATATTCGTCGAACTGGATGAATACATATACGAAACTATCGCAGACCATTTTTATTTGAACACGGTATAAGGCTTTGCCGTAGTTAAAGAACAGTAAATGTCTAACCCTTTCTAAGTGTAAATGTCTAACCCTTCCCCCAGTGTAAATGTCTAACCCTTCCCCCAGTGTAAATGTCTAACCCTTCCCCCAGTATAAATGTCTAACCCCTTACCAGCTAATCGTTTCGGGCATGGCGATATTGGAACAATTTCCGCCATGTTTGTAAAAGTTCCTTTTGGAACCTGCATTCTTGTACTGAAAGCCTCAGCAATAACTTGGCTTTATTGGCGAGACAGCGGTAGAAACGTTGCGTTTTGATGTATTTAGACCCAAAAGCTTATACCACAAGACTGATAGCAGTTGGTCTATATAGGGCTACAAGGTTATAAATGACCACTATAGGGTTATAAAGCATTTATAAAACCAACAACAATGTATAAAGTTTCAGAAATTGATGGGGGGGGGGGGGGGGGATATGCGAGGACGGACTACGCTTAAAGTACCTTTTTTTAAATTTTTTTATTCGGATTGGAGGCGTTGGATGTGGGGGCAGTGCTCCTGTGCGGAATGCCTTAAAGAAACACTGCATCTATACTATACAGTATACGGCACTTAAAGTGTACCCTGTCTGTTTTCAAGTATTGTTTCTAATGTGTTGCTAAACTAATATCCATCCGACCTCAACTTCACCCCGGCTTCCGTGTCAGGTACCCATTTGAGCTGTGTGGACTCAGGGACACCCTAGTGACACGAACAGTAAACCTCGGGCCATTTCTTTTTTTTTTTATGTTTAGAAATTCATGGTGAGTAAACCAACGAAGTATTGTAGATGGGGCGTGGGCCACCCTGTACACGTCACTGTCTGCACCTCCAGGATCCGCCTCTGTTGTCTCCTCACTCTGACATCTCACCACAGATCACACACACACCTTTCTTTTGTTACCCCCAACTCCGAAATCCTCAAATTTATCTGGCGAGGACAACACAAAAAATGTATACTGGTCAATGAAAACCACATGTCGCACTCACTCCCTAGGATATGTTGAAACACAACCAACAAGCGAAAAGGTCGACGCGGGTCAAAGTTTGCACCCAATTGCATCACTGGCCTGCCTCCCTCCCCGCTTGGCAGCGCCCCCCCCCCCCCTCCCCGCTAGGCAGCGCCCCCCGACACGAATTTGGTAACTTTGACTCAAAACACCAGTGACATTTGGGCTGTTACCAGCCGGGCGCTTCTCTAAGTTGAAGCAAGTGGCGCGCTTAAGAGATACATTTCGTCTGTACCGGGTGCTCGGGGGGTAGGGAAGGAAGGCCGACGCCACGGGCGCATGTGTTGTGTTTAGCAGCGGTGGGAGAGACGGTGGCGCCATCTTTATATTGGGGAAATATGTGGAAGTTGTGGAGTGCTTGGTGGTGTTGTGTCAAGTTTGGAGAATTAGGCTGGCGAAGTTTAGGCGATACTAGGAGGGGTGGCTTTGAATAATGGTATTTCAGCTCATATATATATACATATATACATATATATATATATATATATATATATATATATATATATATATATATATATATATAGGCCTATATATATATATATATATATATATATATATATATATATGACGAATAGAAAAAATGGCCGAGAGTAATGCATCCTATCGTAATTTAACTCCGCCAATGTTGAAACTTGGTGGCTATGTTTTTAAAGTTAACACAAAAGGACATAGATTTACTTTTGGATGTTTTTAACAAAATGAATTCAACATTTTGTTACCAAGTTTGTGGGCTCAGTCGTGTTCACGAGCGAGGATCTCATAGCTAGAAAATCCACGACGTAATTTATCTCAGCGTGGTTAGCATAAATAAGGAAGGAGAAATCTTTTTTGAAAAAGCAACTAAAAGCTAAGAAGTCAGGCCCACTTGAAGGTACCATTGAGAGCGTAGATCCGCACTCGTCCTCAAGCAGAGCCAGCAGATCTCCAGCAAATGGGAGATGGCATCAGTCAGGATCAATTCACTCTGGTATGCTAAGGTGGCGCGCTCTTCAAAGTGGTTTTTTTTTTACAGTTTTGATGGCGGGTAGATGTCGCGGTCTCTAGTCTGCGTAATCTTTTTCTGTTGGCGTTGGCGTCCTGTTGTAGTGTTGAGGACGATTGGCCGTCCTGTTGTGGTGCTGAGGACGACTGGCCGTCCTGTAGAGGACTACTGGCGTTGGCCGTCCTGTTGAGGACTACTGTCATTTGCCGTCCTGTTAAGGACTTCTAACCTTCCTGTTGAAGGCTACGAGCGTTGGCCATCATGTTGAGGAGTACTGGTTTTTGTCGTTGTGTTGACCACTGGCTTTGGCCGTCCTATTGAAGGCTATTGGCGTTATCCGCCCTGTTGGAGACTACTAACGACTGACCTGTTAAGAACCTCTGACGTTCTTGTGACGGCTTCTCTCTACCTTGGTCTGGTATCTGCTTCCTTCTATTGGCCCCGTGAATCACTACTGGTCAGACCTGGTGTGGGCTCGTGTATAGATGGGCGGGGGCAATAGACTGATGTTAAGTTTGTACCTTATGCCGGATGGCTTTTATGTGAGAGTTGCCGGTCTTGTAATAGGAAAATGTCGAGGTGAATTAGCCAAGGTGCCAGTACTGCTGGGATAAAGTGTGGGGGTACGGGGAGCTCGACTTGCATCGGTGGTCACGTTTCTTTACACTATATTACTTGGCGCGATCCGGCAAAGTTATGCTTGTAAAGAAATGTTTGTCTTCCTTGGGTGCCTTAAATTAGACGTAGGACAAGGAGGCAGAGCGCATGACTAGTTAACCGAATGCCTCGTGTTTTGATCTCGTTCACGAGTCTGTTGGAAGTCCTTGAGTACATCCAGCTGTAATTTGTACCTGACTTACGCTCGGGAAAGTAAAGGCGGCTTTGAGATCTTCTTTTTTTGAAGATACGCTTGACTCGTCACAGTTTCCAACACCTGTATATTGTTAATTAACCATCAATCAAACCCCAATCATTTTCATGCATATCTGCCCGTTCTCACTATTACGGCACTAAGTATACCCTGTCATCAGTAGTTTACTGTAGGCCTATGTGTAGCTGTAACAGACAGTATTTGGTGAATTGTATTTGGAGTGAAACGTGTGTGATAGTTGAATACCTGGCCATCGGAAGTGAATGCGTGAGCGATCAATCACTGTATTTTGCATGCTTTTTGGAGATGGCTCACTAACTGAAGAGAGTGAAAATACGGCTAGTTCTATGTATAATTGGGGTAAATATATTGTTCAAAAGGCCGCCATGATGAATGCAAGTGGAAGCTAAGTGTTAGAACTTGAAATATATACAGTATTATTCCTGTGATTTTATATTGTGTATTCACGCACTTTAAGTATAAGTGGCTATATCAAACGGTGGATGTTTGATTACTGAAATGAACTGTATTCTTTTTGGATGTTACAATGGTAAATAAAGTTGTAAAATGACCAGCAGTTTATCGTCTATCTTTGAAGAAAGACGAACTCAAATTCACATCTAGTTGTCGCAACAACAACAGAGTGTTACAGTAGCCGATTTATTTAAGCGGGACTTGTAACTTAGTGTTACCAGGGGTGATAGTGTGGACTGGAGCCAATTAGAAGTCCTAGAGTCCACTCATTACTGCGGGATATTGAACACCGAGTTTAGTGAGTTATGATAACGTGGTCTTGGTTAATAAATTAGCTCTACCTTATCCGTCTGTGTAGCATTCAGTCTAAAAGTGTGCTTTACGATTTATTCTGAAAAGTTTACTTTAAAAATCAAATGTTATAAAATGTGTTTTATCAGTATTTCATATTTTTAAACCAAAAAAAAGTTATTCGCGACAATTTTTAGTTACACGTGAATGCTGGTATTTCCAGTTTTTGTTTCTTTTAAGTAGGCCTGCAGCAATAATAATGTACAATTTGATGTCGTGCCGCTAGCAATGTAACTTGTAAGTTAGCACAATAGTCGTGTTCAATAACGCGATGTCAAACTGTATAGATACTTGAGAGATGGGTTGGAAGGTTAAAAAAACATAATGATTCCGCTGACAATGACTTGTGCATTGATTTATAGCGAATTAAATTCGGACTATTTTCGTCCTTTGTCTTCTGCTCTTTGTGTCGTGTGACGTCTGGCGACATGGCATTTCGTGGGGATTGATTCCGTACGGTCGTTCTACACGCTGATGGTGTTTTTATATACAGCGTGCAGACATTGTTCATACGTTGTTACACCATCTGGTGTAATTTGTTGTCGAATAATGAGCAGTGTTATAACATTGTGTGTGTGTGTGGGGGGGGGGGGGGGGTGGAGAAGGGGGTGCGCTCCAAATCTGAATGATTTTTTCCCCAAATAGCCCACGTTTAAGGTATAATGTAGGCTAGTAGCATCGTGGTGCCCAGTTAAACATAACACTTGTTATTTGTCTATGTTATGATATATAAGTAAGAAAAAACAATTCTTAGTAAAAATATAAACAAATTTTAAAATCTCAAAAAATTTAAAATGTATGTTTTTAAAACATTATTGCTAGTTATTCCTTTTTCTAGAGAAATCATTACTAAGTAAAAGCCGTAGAATTTAGAAACGACAATTTTAATATTTTAAATATCAATATATTTTTTCTTCTTTCTTCTAACAGAAGGGGTCCTCTGGCCGTGTACTTGACTAACTTGGTAAGTCCCACCTTTTTATTTTTAAATTTATTGTTGCCTTTTACCTTTCTTTGTGTTCTTACAGCTCGTTCATCGTCAGTTTGTTTCTACTCGTTGTCTTCTTCACCACAAATGTCGTATACTACAAGAGCAAGCATTCTTAGAAATATGTTATCAAAAGCTATTTCAATTCGATAGTATGATCTCGGTCAATAATCAACTATTTTAATGGATGGTGTGTAATGCAGTTATTGCAAACCTTTACCATTTGAACATGCTGTGTGGTGTATTGTATGGATTACTTTGACATATTATAATTTTAAACCGTTTATCTGACTTTATTGTACCCTCGTTGATTTGTAATTATGTTATAACCATTCAAATTAAACATAATGTTAATCCTACTTTAGTGTCTAGGAATAGCCTAATACGAGTTTTAATGAAGTTTTTTTTTAACGTTTATCTGGCTATACTGTACATCAATTAATTTGTAATTAAAAGTAATTTTTTATGATAAAACGTTAGGTATGCCGAGATTAGAAAAGCTTTACTAAATCATAATAGGCTGATAGTGTGTTATTTTTTTTTTAGATGTGAGAGGTTAGTTATTTGTGTCCCTTTGGTGAATTTTATGTCTCTTATCCCGGCCATTCCTTCATCTTGTGTTTTTGTGTTTCTTTGCTTGCCCCCCTCCCCCCCCCCCTACTTCCCCCTCCCCATGAACACCTGAGAGTATCTTAACACCCCCACGTCTGTTGTCTCGGCCTGTGGACTGACCGACAGGTCTGTAGAGGAGAGAGAGATAAAAAGATGGTTACATTCTTTTAGCCGGAGAAAACAACACCAGGGGAAAAATGTCAACAATGTGCTTGGGAATGGTGTGAAAAAATGTCGTCACAGGTGTCAGTGGTATGACGTGATTGTGTCGTGGTGGCTGGCAGGTCGGGGGTCAATATGTGACACATTGGGGTAACAGGTTCTTGTGGCTATTGGTCTACAGACATTTGGTCTACAGATATTTGGTCTACAGACATTTGGTCTACAGACATTTGGTCTACAGACATTTGGTCTACAGACATTTGGTCTACAGACATTTGGTCTACAGACATTTGGTCTACAGACATTTGGTCTACAGACATTTGGTCTACAGACATTTGGTCTACAGACATTTGGTCTACAGACATTTGGTCTACAGATATTTGGTCTACAGACATTTGGTCTACAGACATTTGGTCTACAGACATTTGGTCTACAGACATTTGGTCTACAGACATTTGGTCTACAGACATTTGGTCTACAGACATTTGGTCTACAGACATTTGGTCTACATACATTTGGTCTACAGACGTTTGGTCTACCGACGTTTGGTCTACAGACATTTGGTCTACAGACATTTGGTCTACAGACATTTGGTCTACAGACATTTGGTCTACAGACATTTGGTCTACAGACATTTGGTCTACAGACATTTGGTCTACAGACATTTGGTCTACAGACATTTGGTCTACAGACATTTGGTCTACAGACATTTGGTCTACAGACATTTGGTCTACAGACGTTTGGTCTACAGACATTTGGTCTACAGACATTTGGTCTACAGACATTTGGTCTACAGACATTTGGTCTACAGACATTTGGTCTACAGACATTTGGTCTACAGACATTTGGTCTACAGACATTTGGTCTACAGACATTTGGTCTACAGACATTTGGTCTACAGACATTTGGTCTACAGACATTTGGTCTGCAGACATTTGGTCTGCAGACATTTGGTCTGCAGACATTTGGTCTACAGACATTTGGTCTACAGACATTTGGTCTACAGACATTTGGTCTACAGACATTTGGTCTACAGACATTTGGTCTACAGACGTTTGGTCTACAGACGTTTGGTCTACAGACGTTTGGTCTACAGACGTTTGGTCTACAGAAGTTTGGTTTACAGACGTTTGGTCTACAGACGTTTGGTCTACAGACGTTTGGTCTACAGACGTTTGGTCTACAGACGTTTGGTCTACAGACATTTGGTCTACAGACGTTTGGTCTACAGACGTTTGGTCTACAGACGTTTGGTCTACAGACGTTTGGTCTACAGACGTTTGGTCTACAGACGTTTGGTCTACAGACGTTTGGTCTACAGACGTTTGGTCTACAGACGTTTGGTCTACAGACATTTGGTCTACAAACATTTGGTCTACAGACGTTTGGTCTACAGACATTTGGTCTACAGACGTTTGGTCTACAGACGTTTGGTCTACAGACGTTTGGTCTACAGACGTTTGGTCTACAGACGTTTGGTCTACAGACGTTTGGTCTACAGACGTTTGGTCTACAGACGTTTGGTCTACAGACGTTTGGTCTACAGACATTTGGTCTACAAACATTTGGTCTACAGACGTTTGGTCTACAGACGTTTGGTCTACAGACATTTGGTCTACAGACGTTTGGTCTACATACGTTTGGTCTCCCAACATGGTGGAGAGACAACTCCAAAATCAAACAACTGCTGCCTTGTAGTTTGTTCTTGGTTGGACAAAGGCTATGGAATCAAATCCAAAAAGAAAAGCAGGCTGAAATCGGAGTCAATGGCCTCAATGGCGCATAACCAGTTGACACGTATACTTAATTGTGTTGGAGGGGATCCCTCCCAACACTAAAAGTAAGAACGAATAAGAAGAAGGTGGACGAGAAATTTACAAACGATTTGTGAATGACCCATGAAAAAGATAACCCTTTATGCAGATTCTTATTAGATTTGCTTATGGCGTTATTTGTTGGCATGTAACCTATGTAGGCACGGTGATGTAACTATTGTACAAGAATCTACCTGTAGATTTGATGCATATTTACACTCACATGAAAGGTGTATGTACATTGGTTTCATGTTCCTGTATTTTTTAAATATTATTTGCCCAGATCCATTAAAACAAACTATTTTTATTTAAAAATGCATCGTTTGAATTATATGAAGGGAAGCCACCGCTATCAGGGGAGGCTACCGATAAAACATCATGCAATATTTGTGTGTAAACGTGCATGTCGATCACAGTCCCACGGGTCGCGGTGATATTTAGTTGTCTACCCTGCTGTTTATTTGTGTGTGCTCAGTGCCATGTAAACAAGCCAGGGCGTTGTTGATCCACGTGATCGGTGACATGACGCGTCTGTATACAGAGTGGCAGGGCCGGGGAATGATAAACTCATGGTCTGATTGACGTACGGGGTATATGCGTCGTCTCCCCTTAATTCTAGATGGACGTATCTTAGATTTTAGCTATATAGCTGTAAGTCTAAATGGTTGACATTCGAATCATACCACGGACCTCGATGTGCATTTCGCATTTGTTTCCTTTCGAACCTGACGGTTCATGGGGCAAGTGAAGTAGAGTTCCCCTGCTTCTGTGACCTCGGCATATGAAGAGATTGTGTGGTTAGCACTAAGCCCGGCCGCCTTTACTTTCCCTAACGTGAATTAGGTACCCTTCAGAGCTGGTTGGGCTCGGGGAAACTCTACGGAGTTAAACCCGTATTCAAACTCATGACTTTCGGGTTAGTAGTCGTATGTTCTACCATTCGACCACGCCGTCCCATGCCTGATATGGTAACCATGGAATCAGCAGTCGTTGACAGCTATTTGTTCCCTTGTAAATCAAAACCAAGTTGTTGTTTTTTTCAACAGTTGTGTGTAAAAGGAAGATCACACATCTTTTAATGCTATTTATGTGTATTGTAAGTCTATCAACCAAAATTTCTTGTGAGACATCGCATTACATGTCAGAACACACGCCGTCAAAGCCGTCAGATTATAGTTTAAAAGTTTGTCGTATGTCACCCATCGTTATATAGAGTTATATATCACATCTATTTAAACAATAAGTGGGATATTAATTATGAATAAATCATCACCGAGCTAATGATGTAATTAGGCATGCATGCTAGGAGAATTTAACACCACTGTCATACTGTTAGACTATGTCACAACTTTCAGAGATTTAGACTCGTCATGTCATCAGCAGTTTAGACATTGACACCATAGCCGCAGCTTTAGACTGACACCACAGCTTTAGACTGACACCACAGCTACACCACAGCTTTAGACTGACACCACAGCTACACCACAGCTTTAGACTGACACCACAGCTTTAGACTGACACCACAGCTACACCACAGCTTTAGACTGACACCACAGCTACACCACAGCTTTAGACTGACACCACAGCTTCAGACTCTGACACCACAGCTACACCACAGCTTTAGACTGACACCACAGCTACACCACAGCTTTAGACTGACACCACAGCTACACCACAGCATTAGACTGACACCACAGCTTTAGACTGACACCACAGCTACACCACAGCTTTAGACTGACACCACAGCTACACCACAGCATTAGACTGACACCACAGCTTCAGACTCTGACACCACAGCTACACCACAGCTTTAGACTGACACCACAGCTACACCACAGCTTTAGACTGACACCACAGCTTCAGACTCTGACACCACAGCTACACCACAGCTTTAGACTGACACCACAGCTACACCACAGCATTAGACTGACACCACAGCTTCAGACTCTGACACCACAGCTACACCACAGCTTTAGACTGACACCACAGCTACACCACAGCTTTAGACTGACACCACAGCTACACCACAGCATTAGACTGACACCACAGCTTCAGACTCTGACACCACAGCTACACCACAGCTTTAGACTGACACCACAGCTACACCACAGCTTTAGACTGACACCACAGCTTCAGACTCTGACACCACAGCTACACCACAGCTTTAGACTGACACCACAGCTACACCACAGCATTAGACTGACACCACAGCTTCAGACTCTGACACCACAGCTACACCACAGCTTTAGACTGACACCACAGCTACACCACAGCTTTAGACTGACACCACAGCTACACCACAGCTTCAGACTCTAGTTCTCACAGCCACCATCTCTCCTAATGGGCCGCTAGTTTGTCGTCGTGACACGAAAATTGACGCTGTTTTACACGCCAACAATAGCGCCTGATTTGTGGCTAACTGCTGCTTGTGCTAGAGAAACCTGGGGTGCTGGGATAGTCACGTGATAGCCGTCTGACCTTTGAACTACAATTACCTCCATGATACGGCTGTTTGTGTTTTAGTTTGTAACAACTTAATGCGGCAAAATGGTTGTCAAATTTACACGATTTAAAGGTCAGAGTTTTTGGTGCTTCTATTAACTTTTAACAAATTTAAGTTTAAAAATAAAATAAAAAGTGGAAACGAATGGTCGGGTATTATGTGGTATTATGTTGTATGTTTCAGACCCTCCCCTCCCCCCCCCCCCACACACACACATGCACTCCTACTGTATTTTCCCTGGAGACACTTTTCTGGGAATACAAGTTTAGTCTGTTTTTTATCGATCATCTTTAAGAAATCAGTGCATCTGCTTAGCAAAGGAAATAACTGGTAAAAAGTAGTACATTTTTGAAAAACAATGACCAGATGACGAATATGTTGACCGTAACCATGGTTACAGTTTCAGCCAGAGCCTACATTTCTTTTTTTCCCCCACAAACATATTTTACTTTTGCCCAGAAATATTTCTGATTTTTTTCACTAGAAACATTTCTTATTTTTAAGTGCCACCAACACTGATATCAACGCAATAATGCCCGCATTCCGTAATATTTTTGTGTGCGAAAATGCATTAGTAAGCTAAAATATACCGACATACCATCCATACCAAGTTTCCAATACATGAACACACTCGGACAGATACACTACCAGCCACCCTTGTTTATGCCACTTTGAGTTGTCATTCCTTGTCAAGACAGTAATTTCTGGTCTGGTACAATAGTTGTTGTTGGTTTAATGTTTAATTTTTTAGGGTACATTCTCCCATCATCAACATCACCTGGTTTAAGGTGCTAGATAAGTTGGTGAGTAACCTTCAGTGCTGTACGTACAGTAGTCGATAGTGCACGATTCATCTGATCTCCACTGTGTTTATTTAACATTGCCATCTCTATTGTTAGCCAAGCTGTGTGGCTCTACATGCCTGTATGCCTTACGTATTCACATACGCAAACACACATTATGTGGTCCTAAATGGAAGAGTGCACGACTGCTAGCCCGAAAGTCTCGAGTTCGGATACCATAAAGAAAGATTGGGCAGCAGACATTGTTAATGAAATAGCAATACAAAGTGTTATCCCAATGCCAAGGTTAGACACTTCCGTATTTAAGTCACTAAAAAGGCAGTCTAGAACCAGACAGGATTCGATCCCGCACTTCATACGGCACCGATTCACCTCGCCTACTGTGACTTTGATACGTACCTATGTCTAATTATAACATTGAGATAACATCCAGCACAGATGGGTACCAGACTTAAGTAAAGACGACTGTGCCTAAAACTGACCATACTATCCATTTATATACCGAGGTCAGAGAAATTATGAACCGATGTCTGAAAGGGTAACTTTTTACTTACTCCTCTACACCATATGTGTTCCCTCAAATATACTTCTGTATATAATACATAACCGACTGGCTAATGGCTGTGACTTGGGGCAAATGTTTTCCATTGACACCAGTAAATTGCAGGTAATTGTCCTGACCCCACGGTGACCTCCCCGCCTGCTGGTGGCACCGAAATGCCATTGTTGTATTTAGTTTAGGGTCGGGAGGGTGAGGGGGTGGGTGTTTACTCGGGATCTGACGCCGTAAAAACTTACATTTTGGTTGTGGTATTCGCGACACTTGCTTGACAGAAATGCAGCGCTAACTAACTAAAGGGACGTAACCGTTAATATATTTTTTTATACAGAATTACCACATAAGGGGAGGATGTCAGGTTGTTAAGCTTGACGAGGTTAGTCGCCTTGAAAAAGAACGATGTTACACAATTTATTAACTGATTAATTTAGTTTCCACATCTGAATCACAAAAGATTATAAACGTTAATTTTTTTTTTAAATCCTGCTTCAAAAAGGTTTTTGTTCTTTTTACATTAAAAAAAACAATAGATTTTTCATGTTGCATTTTTGTATTAATAAACAAGTTTAGAGGAGTGATTCAAACTTTGGTATATCCCCTCAGACTGTGCAACCTTTTACTGCTAAAGCCATACAATACATAGTACGGAGATGTTTTGGTGCTACATTACAGCAAGCCCGCATTGTTGTGTGAGTGTGTGTGTGTGGGGGGGGGGAGATTTGTATGGCTCCATTGTTGGGGTCCGTCCCCAAGGTTTTGTTTTGAAAGAATGTCAAGGGTTATCCCCCTCATTGTTAATTGTTCCTTTCTGCTTTTTGACACTGTTATAAAATTGTTCAGCTTTTTGTTTTGTTTGTTTCAGGCTATTGAGACGGGCTACCGTATGCTGGTGGAGAGAAACTTGGTGCGGCCAGTAGCCAATGGGGAGGTGAGTACTGTCGACGTTTTAACTTATACAGGCTTGACGCCTACGTTTAATTATGTCCAGAAAGTCCATGGTCTTCCATTATTTTCTGCCTTAACTGTGGACATTCGTGATGCTGTTGGACCCATTGGCCAGTGAAGCTAATTAACATGGCTTGTTATGTAATGTCATCCCGTGGTTGTAATGACAATTATAATGTCATAACTATTTTAGAAAACAAAGCTTGCCTAGGTTAAACAATTCTACATTTTACTGGTCAAACTGAATAAACTGAACTTTACCTTCGGCGTGGTCGAATGGTAGAGCGTTTGTCTGCTAGCCCGATATTCTCTAGTTTGGATCTCGGTTCGGACTGGGGGATGTCCAGAGCCCTCCCAGCTCTAATGGGTACCTGACTTATGTTGGGGAAAATAAAGGCGGCTGGGGAAAGTGCTGATCACACCATTCCTTCATATGCCGAGGTCAGGAAACATGAACTCTTCTTCATCCCAATAGATCGCTGGACTAAAAAAAAAAAGATTTTTACTTTACTGAACGAATGCTTCCGAACTAATGCTCATAAATCGCGAATGTTGGTTCAGTTCTATTGGTCATACCAACAAAAAAAAAACAACAAACAAACAAAGCAAACAGAAGCCTGTGTCCATCTCCAACACCTAATTGGGAAGCCGCTGTATGTACCTGCCACTCACCGTCATCATTTTTTCTCTCCCTGGCCCACCACGGAGTACCTGTCAATCATCCCAGTGTTAACCCACTGGTCCCCATTCTCCCCCGCCCCGCTCCACTAGATGCACGGACCGTGCGATGGTCCTAATGAGACTCGCGGGGGTTCAAATTACAGAGCGTGGGGATGCATATGCTGGGCTTTATACTCGCTCACTAACCCGGAGTTGGTAGAGGGGGGTGGGGCAATATAAAACATTTTTAATTAGGTGAGGGAAAGATAAACCACTGTGAAATATGGTTTACTAAGCAAATATTGCTTTGGGTACTTTTTTTTTCGTTGTGGTGGACGTAGCGGTTACTGCCCCTGAGTTTGAAGCTTTATGGTGGTGTGTTATAAGATAGTGTGATACTACTGTTGGGGTTAGTATAGAGATGGTTAGGCTAGAGGCTGGCTTTGGTTTTGATTTGTCGGGCTTTTTTTGTTTAATAATTATTAGGCCTAATGTGTTTGGCACCAAATATACAGAAAGCGAGCTATTTATTAAAAAAACACTTTTAGTGGTTAGAATGTTGTTGAATTTTGTTTTTCAAATGATGGCTGATAATGCACTTAAATTTAATTATGCAGCATTAGAAAAATGTGTTCTTACAGTAATCCGATTAATAAGACGTGTAAGTTTACCGACTCAAGGTTCATTGGTAATATTTTTTTAATAGACCGCTTGCATTAGCATCAAATTTATTTATCTACAATATATTCCGTGTGGATACTACCACATAAAGTACAACAGAAATACACAGCATCAGGGGTGGACTGTTTGTTTATAAGTGGAACCTGCTAATCTACACTTGCGCTGGTCGAACCCCAGATTAAAATTTCAAAGTGACTACCAGAGCAAACTGCATACCTCCTAGCTTGCCCTCGGCTAGGCGGAGCGATGCATTTTCCCCGATTAACACCTTATGATCATCCTCAGCTCGATTGAAATTCACGTGACAAATTATTTTAAAACTAATAGGTACTAATATACCTATTACAGCACCGTTACTGGGGGCCCAACGGGATTTTTAAAAACTGGGGCCCAATGGGATTTTTTTTAAATTGGGGACCCAACGGGATTTTTTAAAACAGGGGGACTTATTTTTTTAAAACTGGGGCCCAACCGGATTTTTTTTTAAATTGGGGGCCCAACCAGATTTTTTTCCCCGGTAGACCGCGGGTAAGTCCACCCCTGCACGGGATCCTAGTTAAACTGGCGACTGTAAAAAATGATTTCTGGAAATACAGAAGGTGAGACATGCCTTACATACAGGAATAGAGTACTGTGATACAGGGCTTAAGTTAAGCCCTCAGTGTACTAGATGGCCCGAGGATGTCCTAGTACAGTACTAAAGTCGGCATTAACATGTGAAACAAACCTGGGCAGACGTAAAGTACGCTGGCCCGCCACGTTCATTAGCACAGCCATCCATTCTTGTTGTGTCTGACTACTTACATGCGACCGGAGATTCGTCTCCGGTGAAAGCTAAACACTTCCCCTTATGCCTTCTGACAAGTGGAAAGATTCTTTTGAAACAAGGCATTTTTTGGTCGTAATTTATTGTTGTCGTTTTAGCTCAGTCTTGCTTACACGCGAAAGTAATGGATTAATGCTCTCTATAATTTATGTCCAGTACTGACAGTAGGTAAAAATATAACCCGGGTTTAACTGTACATTTTAACTGCCCACACTGTTCCCTCACATACCTCGTTAACGAAAACAGTTGACCTTTACTTTACATACCCTGGTGATTGTTTGGTGCGAAAAAATACTTTTTTTAATTTTGAATTTTTGAAGCCGTCTATTTGTAGGTGGGTCCCTTCTATAATGCATTATTTTGAAGTGAACTGTTAACAGCTAAATGCTAAATGAACGCTATTTACTTAGCCAACTAAATAGCTGAAGCCTCTAATTAAACAAATTTGAAACAAAATGATGATTGTTCAACTTAACAAACACCCCACCCCGCCCTCATCAAAATAGTAAAAGAAATGAGTTGCTAAAACAACAAATTATTCTGGGTGGCATACAGCGAATGTCCCTAAAATAGGGTATTGGGCTTTCCCGGGTTGCTATAAATAAAAACTTGTCTTACTCATACTGTATCCACCTCTCACATAAATAACCCGTGGGCCTTTCGTGTTGTATCTAGCCTGAGGGCGTCACGTGCCCAGACAGAAGTGACCATTGTTCTCATGCTCACCCTCAGGTTTAAAACGTGTCCATGGTCTCAAGAGAAAAAATATGACACTATATTTTCTTTTAATCTTCGCCATTTTCGTAGAAACGCCGACAATGTATGCATTTGTCCGAACACCGACATGTTTTAAATGTGTTTAAACACTGACCATGTCTCAATGAACAAAAATCCATCCCACTGTTAGACTCTAAGACTAAACAAAATTATCCTCACTCAAGTTTCTCGTTGTACTTTTAGCATGTGCATTTCTCTCGCAATATTTCCTATAATCTATAATCTCTCCGCAACACCCGTGTCAACCCAAGCTACAAACAACGTTAGCTGAATCACCCGTCGGTCATTACCTGTTTATGAACTGTCACCCACGGATGAACCGCGATTAGCCACACCACCACCCAGGCGGAGAGTGCTAACCAAACACGCCAGCACTGTCGCCGGTAACGGGCTGGTGTAAAGCCCGTACATAACCGAGGGTGATGGAACACAAAAACACGACGCCATCACCTCACACGGGTGTCCCGTGCGCAATGCTAACCCTGTCTTTGTTTGGGGAGGTTGGCATTGTTGGGAGGAATGTTAATAGTGTTTATACGGTATTAGGGCTACATCGCTCATGCTGTCCCAGCATCCCCTCCCCCCCTGCTCTTTCGAGCATATAATTCATCGCATTTTATTCGCATCCACTTGAGCACCGGCGTGGATGGCGTGTTGTGCAGCTATGGCCGTACCTGATAATCGACACTTGCGCTGGTCCAACTTCAAAGCCACGGCCACTTATTTTCTTTTTTTTGTTGTTGTCTGGTTTGATGGTGGTCGGATGGTTGACACAGCTGGTGGCGAAAGACGGAACCGACCAGGGGTTATCAACACCTCTGGAACATGACCCCCCTACACCCCCCCCCCCCCTCCACTCGAGCAAGTCGCGTCCCGGCGTTACTAATACTGTTGTAGGTGGTCAGCGGGAACTGTATGGTCCATGCACCCCTTGGCGTCGAGTGTCCACTTCTCTTGATGGGGGAGGGGGGAGGGGTGTTCAGTTGTTCATTGTGGTCTGTCATGGTAGCCGCTGTCTCAGTTGTGAACGACACGCCGCAATGTTTTAACGGACACCAGACATGGCAAGATTAAATAAAACACAGGCAAAGCACCATAAAAGGTTTGGAAGTAGGCATTGTTAATGAAATAGCAATATAGACATAAAGTGTTATCTTAACGTCAAAGGTAAACATAGATACGTATTAAAGTCACAGAAAAGACAGTTCATTGCTGGCGGAAGTGCATTTTTTGTTACTTTAATAGTAAAAACGTACCTATGTCTACCTCTGCCATTGAGATAGTCTTTTTTGCTAAGTAAAGCACCACAATGAAATATTTGCCACAGCTAAACGTATATATATATATATATATATATATATATATATATATATATATATATATATATATATATATATATATATATATATATATAAATATAGGTGGGTGAGAGAAGGGAGTAAAATAGTCGACCTGGTTTTACGTTTTTAGAGGAAGTTTTAGGGGTTGAGTTGGGTGTAGTCTAGCCTGGTTTTTTTTTTTTTTTTTTTTTAAATTAGTTTGCATACTCAAAATATGTATTCAAATGCAAGAGGTCAGGGCATACTATCACTAACCTTTGCACCGCCCATCCCCCCAGTTCTCGTATTCTCCCAGCCCCACGAGAAAAAAAAAAAAAACACACACACACACACACCCTGTAATTGTCAGGCAAGTGTATAGTCATTTGTCACGACGGCGGGTGACAGCGTGATAATGGCTCTTAATCATCGGTACATTCACCCCGTGAGAATCACAACAGCCGGCAACAGGACTCCGGTACCGGCCAACTGTTGGGGGAGCGATGACAAATGTCTTGTTTCAGCCGGGCTGTCGCAACTTAACGCCGCGGACCGTGACGCTCACGGTGAAGTGTTGCGCTTAATCCGGGTTCTTGGGTGTAAGAGCTGTTGAGTTTGGTCAAGTTGAGTTTGGTCATGTTTTTAAGCTTGTCGAGTATAAACCCGGAACCTTGAAACTGTTTCGTCATAAGTTTTTTTTTAAAATATGTGTCTAAAACT